TAATTTGGAGAGTAAATACAATCTGTTTTACAGTTAGCTATTACATGAAAAGAGTATCTTCAAAATTACATTAATTTTGAACATATTAACTCCTACCTTTTACATATGGTCCATCCCTCCAACCTGTCTGCCAGAACTGATTTACACTCAGGTGAATTGCATGGGCAGGTAGGAAAGGTCACATGACCAACAGGTAAGTATGGGGTTACAGGTCACAAACAGGTCACAGGTTACAGAACAAAACATAAACAAAAGCACATGGCACTGAACAACTGACACATGGACAATGACACTGAACAAGACAAGATACTAAACACACAATACATGTACACCTGAACAAACAAGACATAATTACATATTAAACTCCACTAATATTACTTCATTCATCCGCCTTTCTTAAAACATTATAATTTAATGACTACACTATCCATAATACTTGGACAGGCTATCCCTGCCACATATACATGTAGTCAAATATGACACATATATAGGACGAATGCAAATAAACAACCCGTTACTGGTCATATTTTTTTTAAGTTAAGCACGTCGATTACATTGTGGGCCAAACAAGTGAGTTGCTGAAATGAAAGATTATTTATCCAATTACACAATTTTAATGGATTGGGTAAAATTCATTCGTTGCATTATTTCCAGTCAACATTTAAACATTATTAGTATAAAACTAGAGTGTCTTTTCAATATGGCATCCTGAAGATCGGGTGTGCTTTCGGAAGATCCTTCCAAGTAGGAATGAAAACATGCTGTGAAAGTTGTGTAACAGCTAAGGAAAACGTTGAGCGTGCACATGGTCAGAAGTTGGATGGGTGACCGCGCCCACATGTTACAGTTTTTTATGAGCCGAGATGGAGGGAATATTTGGTACAGAAACTGTTAATTTTCCTGTCTACTCATCAGATACAGAAGACTAAAGATGAGAGTACCACAAATTGCAACAATGAAAATCAACAAAATCAACAGATATGGAGTTATTGAATAAAAATCTTTCGTTTCATTGACTCACTATTCATGTCCAGCAATTTTGAAATTTGCAGAAGGAAATTGTGGCCACAATTGATCTGTTTGTTTACATTTGTCTGATATACAGTATTACTGCAATATATATCTAGTCACTATATATATAGCCAAATCTGTCTATAAAGAGATAACAAGGTTTTCCAGTGTTCCAGTACCTGGTTGAGATTAGTAGGAAAATGAGTAAAGATGCACTGGTTGAGTAGTTGGGCTATGTTGTAATGAATTTATTTTTACAAAGGTAACCTTATTGTCCTGCATTAAAGAACCTTACAAGTTGTGGCACAGGGACACGTCACGTTTAAAGGGGTGTCACAGTATTCAGGAGTATAACATATAAACTAGTGAATAAATCGTAATAAAGCTAGTCAGTGTACACGTAAAGCACATCATCAGTAAAATCAACATTTCATGGCCAAATATGGCTCAGTGTTCCGCGTTTGGTACCAAAGTAAATGGGAGTAATTATCATATACCTTAAAGAAAAACACAAAATCCTTCTAGCTAGGGGTTTCTCTTTCATATTATAACCCACAGGGATATAAAGAAAATTTTACATGTACATGTATTGTAGTTATGCGTGTCTAGTGAAAACAGGGTCACAGAAATCATTTATTCTGCAAAACGTTTCTGTCAAAATACAGGAAATAAGATGTTGCAGTAAACATAATCAATTTTCTGATCAAAAATAGATTACATATATATGTATGTTATTGGAGTAGAAAATTGTGACATGTTGAACATAGTTTACTGATCTTTATGTTTTGATAATGGCTAGGCGATGAAAGCTGTAAGTGACAGAAAGGCAAAAGAACGTGCAGAAAGACAGGAGCGTGAAAGAGAACTAGCCAAGGTGAAGATCAACAAGGAAGACGTGGATATTATAGTAAGTACATGGTTTTCAGCGATATTATTTGTAAAGACTGATTGTTTCGCTGTCTTAGAATTTAGAACAATAGTTCTATGAGACAGATTGAAATCTTAATATAGACCTACTTAAATTTTGATAGACCAGACCTCGACCAGGAAAATTTCATTTGTATACTTTGTATTCAGAATAAAGAAAATATGTGTTATAAGAAGGAAAATTTGTTTACATCCAGTGGACAAGTTATACCAACAAGAAAATGGAATTAATTCTAGTGAGATAAATTTGTTATGGTTAGAGGTAATAACTAGGGTCTGTTAGGGTACCAGATTCATACATATCTATTTGCCCTTATTAAAAATGTCCTTTACTGAAGCTAGCTTTAGATGTAGAGACCTCAAATTTTTATGATGACTACCAAATTAGGGCTTACACAATTCATTGAGTAGTATTTCATCACCGTGCTCTCTTGTATCAAATCATATTCTTTGACTATATGGAAATTAAACATTAATAATACTGATATTATCAATCAGTTTTGCCTATATCCTTATACACTTACAACACTGAAATGGCCAATTTCTTATGAAACTCTTAAATGGGTACCGTTTGTTTTTTAATCCTTCAGTACATGTGTTGTCAACTGCAAAATTGAAACAAAAAGTACTAAAAATCATAACAGTGTTTTTTTCGTTGTCATTTGGGATGGGGCTTTTTGTCTCGTTTTAGGGAGAAAATATACCAAATTGAGTGGGAATGGAAATTTTAGGAGTAAACTGCAAATTTTGTGAATTAGGTGTAAATATGAAGTAGTTCTAGTTGAGAATGGGGCCCAATATCAGCACCAAAAAGTCCCCAGAAAAGAAAGCTGCATACAACAATATCATGAGATAGCTAGTAATCAGCAAAAACGTGTAGAGTTCTTTGCTTAGGATGAAGTTGACTTTTTAGTAGTAATGTATGTGATGCACATCCTATTGCTGACACGCCTATAATGGCCATGGTTGTTAATAGGACATCAAACACAAATTAACGAATTGTTCGCATTGTATTGTGAGGTATATAAATACGTATGGTTTAGCGCAGTTCCAATATAATTCAAAACAAATGAGTTTTTTTTCAATGAATCAGGAAAGCCCTAATCTTGTTTCTATGGTTTTCTTGGTTATGTTTGACCAGCGAATATGGAGTCTATTCAATAAGCAATTAACTGATGTTGTCATAACAGCGTACTAGGTTTTGCCATAACTTACATAACAATGTTTTTTCCTCAATTCAATTTGACCATATACAGTAAAACTTCGATATTATGTCCCTCGTTTCATTTGCCAACTCACTTGACTCCAACAAGTTTCAACGTCCCTTTCATAAGAATTACTTTCAACATTTCCCTCAATTTATTTCCAAACCTCTTTATGACTCTAAACTTTCTTTGGACAGGATAATGAGGATTTACTTTGCACATGTATATTATATTCATGGCAACAATTTTTTCCATACCAGGTGAACGAAATGGAAATACCTTCAGCTCAAGCTGAGAGAAAGCTTCGGGAATTCAAGGGAGACTTGGTGGCTGCCTTAGTAGAACTGACCAACTGACCATCGATAAAAACATGTGAAAATCGTGTGACTATTTCAAAAGACAGGAAGTGAGCTATAGGTCAAAGGGAGGACAACTCACAGTACCCTTTCTGTGGCAGCAGGAACAGTGAAGAGTGACTGTCTTGTTTCCCTTCTGTGGCCAGTACTCAGCAAAATCTGACCAACATTTCCAACGAAACAAAGTTGTTTTTCTCAATATTTGTTTTGATTTTGGTTACCATTGAAGTTACTATGTATTTACCAATCGCTAGCTCAAAATTAAAAAAATATGTTAAAATAAAATGTGTGTATAAATTGAGACAAAATGATCCGTTAATTTGACATACTTTGAGTTGTTCTTTCAGATGAATTAATTAGATCTAGGATTATAGGAATATAATTTAGCAAATTTGATGGTTAGAGATACTAGATTTAAGGGTTGAACATCAGAGACTCCCTCCTTTAATTGGGGGAGTTGGCAAGTGTGTGTATGTGGTTTTCAACTGTTTGTCCAAATATAATATACTTATAAAGCTGAAAAATATGTTTTAATCTCCCCACTTCACTGCCTAGTTTGTCACTGGGACGAGGTTCAACATGAAGCAGACCATTCTATGACATGGGAGTATTGCTGAATTGTTCATGGCTATAGATTTCAAACATTTACTTGATTTGAGTGTGATGGATTTACAGTCTGCATGAATGGGGAAAGTATTGTTTGGTCTTATATCCATTCATTTTTAGAAAATTAGGGAACATTTTTACCTGTGGAAATAGCCAGCATTTGGCTGTAAAACAGGGCAATACATTTGCAAGTTTCTAAATAGTTAAGACTTATGTAAAAGTTTCTTTCCATGGGTAGCAGATGTAGCTTAACATAAGGAAATTGTTTAACATTAAGACTTTAAATTAAAAGTTAGTATAATTTAAAACATCAACTGTACACAGTTATATGTTTTTGGAAAATGGAGCCTATTATTGAGCTTAATTTTTTTTGAATATTTCCTTCTCAGTTTATATAATCAAATGGAAAAATTTACTTACATATTAAAGATCCTTATCCCAGGGCAGGTTAAACACTGGAGAATTCCACTGAGTTTTTGTTTATATACAGTAGTCTCCCCTTAAATTCTTTTTGGATATAACTAGCACATTTTGATTAGAACACTTTCATTGACCAGATATACTCAGTTGATTTATATGACAGAATAACAATCCTGGAGTAGGCCTACTGGAATTTGTTTACGCTGTAAACACTTCCGTTGGTTATTTTTTTATTTAAGTCTCCTTGATTATTTTTCAACAAACTCCTACAAGGCTTGCGTTTTTTTCAGATATGGTTTATTAAAGCTATAATCATGCCAAAAAAAATGTGTTTCAAATAACTGATAGCTACAGTATTTGGCAGTGGTACAGAGGTCCTCAAATGTACAATGATTATCTCTTTAACTCAGTCACCCCTGAAGACACATTTGAACTCTTTCAGTTCAAAGGTTAGAGTTCATGAAACTTTAGGGATGAATGAGTTAATGACCTAGTTTAAGTATCTATAGATTCAGAACTTATATTAAAGGTGAAAAAATATAAAACATGAAAAGTGTTCTGAGTGTAAAAATACATCATTGGCAGACCAGGATTTGAACCATTGACCTCCGATCATTATACCGTCACTCTAACCCTCAAAGCTACCTAGTTGATTACAGTCTCCCAGTGATTAATCTATAACTTATGTCCATGGGTCCTTTTCAACTGTACGCGTGTACTCAAAACAATGGGTCCTACAATGTTAAATTTCAGTATTTCTAGAAATTCTATGAGTATAGGACTTGGGACTTGTATGTAGATTTATCACTGGAATTTTATTTCAGCTTGGCTTCAATTATATTCAAAAGTCATTTCAGGGGAGGCTACACTATTTATGATAAACTACTGTGAATTTTCATATTTTTTGCCTGCGTAGGGACAAGGATCCTTTAAGCAGATATTGAACAAAGTATTAGAGATACAATGACAGGGTTCCTTACAATGGATTTTGAACAATAAATTAGAGATACGTGTTTGACTTGAATGAAAGTAAATAAAAAGATTATATTATTTATTTCATTCATTTGTTTTTCCTGTTTGTGTTTTTATATTGTTCATGTTGTTATAGGTATGATACAAGTATTTTGTTAAAAAGAAATTATCTGATAGTTCAGTGTTTCACAATTGCCACCTATCTTACCGGTGACATATGCCTGTGTTTTACCTGTGATCTATAATCAGCAAAATCAAATGTATGCTTATAGGAACAAATAATGCAGATAAGACTCGCAGCACAATTTATAATTTTGTATTTTAATATGATGGGTCTAGTTTTGGGCCAGGTTTTTATTTTTTCTAGTCGATAATAGACTGCTCTCTCTTCATCTCTGTTTAAATACTTTGTAGTTTTTCTAGTCGACAATAGACTGCCGTCTCTTCATCTCTGCGCAATACTTTGTAGTTGTTCTTGTCGATAATAGACTGCTCTCTCTTCATCTCTGTTCAATACTTTGTAGTTGTTCTTGTCGATAATAGACTGCTCTCTCTCCTTCTCTGTTAAATACTTTGTAGTTGTTCTTGTCGATAATAGACTGCTCTCTCTTCATCTCTGTTTAAATACTTTGTAGTTTTTCTAGTCGCCAATAGACTGCCGTCTCTTCATCTCTGCGCAATACTTTGCAGTTGTTCTTGTCGATAATAGACTGCTCTCTCTCCTTCTCTGTTAAATACTTTGTAGTTGTTCTTGTCGATAATAGACTGCTCTCTCTTCATCTCTGTTTAAATACTTTGTAGTTTTTCTAGTCGCCAATAGACTGCCGTCTCTTCATCTCTGCGCAATACTTTGCAGTTGTTCTTGTCGATAATAGACTGCTCTCTCTTCATCTCTGTTTAAATACTTTGTAGTTTTTCTAGTCGACAATAGACTGCCGTCTCTTCATCTCTGCGCAATACTTTGTAGTTGTTCTTGTCGATAATAGACTGCTCTCTCTTCATCTCTGTTCAATACTTTGAAGTTGTTCTAGTCGATAACAGACTGCTCTCTCTCCATCTCTGTTCAATACTTTGTTGTTGTTCTAGTCGATAATAGACTGCTCTCTCTCCTTCTCTGTTCAATACTTTGTAGTTGTTCTTGTCGATAATAGACTGCTCTCTATCCATCTCTGTTCAATACTTTGTAGTTCTTCTTGTCGATAATAGACTGCTCTCTCTCTCTCTCTTCATCTCTGTTCAATACTTTGGAGTTGTTCTTGTCGATAATAGACTGATCT